TTTCTCCCCTTTCTACTCCTTTCACATCCCACACAGTCACACACACACACAGATCTGTTTGGGAAATGACTCATGCTGCTGCACATTGTTTTAGTCACGGCATGAAAAGTGTTTGAAAAATGTAACCTCCTGTCTGTCTGTCTGTCTGTCTGTCTGTCTGTCTGTCTGTCTGACTGTCTGTCTGTCTGTCTGACTGTCTGTCTGTCTGTCTGTCTGACTGTCTGTCTGTCTTTCTGTTTGTCTGTCTGTCTGTCTGTCTGACTGACTGACTGACTCTCTGACTGTCTGTCTGTCTGTCTGTCTGTCTGAATGACTGTCTGTCTGTCTGTCTGTCTGAATGGCTGTCTGTCTGTCTGTCTGTCTGACTGACTGACTGACTGACTGACTGTCTGTCTGACTCTGTCTGTCTGTCTGTCTGTCATTTGTGAAGTCACTCAGATTTGTAGCGACATGAGAGCTGTGAGAGCTGTCATTTTAATACATTTCAGGTTATTTTGTTTAGCAAATTCTGGGCAAAATAAATGGATTTAAATGTGTGCAGATAATGCATTTTCTCACAGTATAGCATCATTGATGCAATGAAGATATTGGATGAGAACAAAATTTTAACTGAATTGATCTGAAGAATGCCACTATTGTCCTCAGTAGAGCAGTTACAGCATTTCTGAACTAATGAATCATTCATGGTTGTTTTCCTGTTCATTTCTGTTTTGTCTAAAGAGGTGTAGAAATGCATGTGATATTGACTGAATGTGGTTAGAGTCCAGTTAGGGACTGTATATTGAGCTGCGGTGAGCGAGCATTAGTGTTGCACTGTCTCTTTAAGAGCTCTAGCGTGTAGCAGCGCTGGTGGGGGGGATTGCGTGACTGCAGCAGACAAAGAGCTGACCTCAGAGAAACTCTTATGAAAACGATCTGCTCAACGGCACATGAGACCAGCACTGCAGAAATGAGCAGAGGACTTCCTTTCTGCACACACACACACACACACACACACACACACACACACACACTGTCACTCACAAACACAGTTTGTCTGATTCCTGCTCATGAACTCTCTCTGTCTGTGTGTGTGAGAGAGAGTGTGTGTGTGAGTGAGTGACAGTGTGTGTGTGAGTGACAGTGTGTGTGTGTGTGTGTAGTTGTGAGGTTCTCCAGACTTCAGGTGACGTTTGACTTTGAATCTAGTGATGTGCACAGGTTTGTGCGATGGTTTAGGGGTTAGAGGTGTGTGTGTGTGTGAGACATCATCCGATAAGACCGAATGAATGGAGTAGATCAGATTAAAGATGGGTGCACACCAACTGCACAATTTTTATTACAAATAAAAATCTAAATTACATAGATAAAATTACTTTCAAAATTGTGTAAATGAATTCATTCTTCTTTTTAAATAGAAGTTTATTTGAGAAGTATTTTTTGAGTTGTTTTATCTAGATATAGATGTATTACAGGGTACATGATTTACATGAGACTGAATGCAAATGCTCACCCAAATACTTCAGTTACATGAAGGGTTAGTAAAAGGCTAACATGAACATATTAGATTCAGAATCTGCTGTGGACCGAAATAAACCTTTGAATGAGAAATGGATTTATTTTGGTTGAACGTCTTTAAAGGTGCGAGTGATTTATTTGTGAGCCGAATCTCACAGACTGCGCTGAATTAAAGCTCTTTGGGTCCAGAAGCAGGAAAGCACTGTGAAGTAATGGTGTGTTTGCGGAGCGAGCCGTCCGTTGCAGGGTTGCGTGCCACGGTTTGTTTTGCGTGGAGGCCACATGTTCTCATTCCTCAGCCGCAGTTTATTAATTCAGTGTATTTAGCAGTTTCTTCTGAGCCGTGCTGCATCTGGAAAGAGCACAACGACATCAATCTGAGGAGTTTAGTGAGACAAAAACAGTTTCAGCCAACGTTTGGGAGTTTTAGTTAAAGGAGTAGTTCACTTTCAGAATGAAGACCCTGTCACCATTTACTCACCCCCACTGGTTCCAAACCTGTATGAGTTTCTTTCTTCTGTTGAACACAAAAGAAGATATTTTGAAAAATGTTGATGAGCACCATTGACTTCCATACTATTTTTTTCCTACTATGGAAGTCAATGGTGTTCATCAACAGGTTTGGAACAAGTGGGGGGTGAGTAAACAGGGTTTTCATTCTGAAAGTGAACTACTCTAATTCGATAATGAATAACTCACATCAATTGTGACAAAGATGACGGTTAAAGGGGAAAAAAGTCTGTTCTTACACTGCTGTTTTCACAGCTGCTTCTCATCGCAGTCTGCGAAAGGATCGAGTGTTTCACGACTGACTGAAGACAAACCAGAATCAGAATGAGCTTTTATTGCCAAGTCTGTTCACACACACGAGGAATTTGTCTTGGTGACAGAAGGTTCTAGCACACAGAAATACAATATTACAAAATTATGATAATATATATGTCTATATATATTAAATGGAATATGCATCGAAAAAATAAAGCACAGACAAAAAGAACATGTACAGATATTATCTAAATGTACAGCAAATGTATTAAAAACGATGGAATTGACATATATGTAAATATGTTGTCTGGTGCTACTAGATGATGAACACTGATGCCAAACATCTCATCCTCAGCCCGGAGTCCAGTGTGAAAGGCAGTCAGTGTTTGCTGGTGTCTGTTCATGGCTCTGATGTTTCACAGGCTCTCTGAGCTCAGCTTCTGTCTTCATTGTAAACATCTGATCCTCCAGCTGCACTGTGGAAGTGTTTGCATGTCGATGGGCAGCAGCAGCTCCTTCTGCATGCAACGCCTGGGAACCGGTCCAGGACTGGGATTTACCCGCTGCTCCGGGAATCCTGGACAACTGTCTTCAGACGCTCGCCGTCACTGCATTCATCTCACTTCATTTGATATCATTTCTTCTTTAGATGTGAGAATATTAATTTGACTTTGAAATGATGCAGCGATTAATGTTGTTTTGAATGCATCGTCACACTTTCTTATGTCACTCCCGGTCCATTTTCTGCCTTCTCTCTAGTAGAAGACAAAACAAAGCCACTCACCACAGGATCACAGTTCATCTGTGAACAGAAAGAGTCAGAACATGCTGGAGATATTTGAGAGAAATTCTTGCACTAGAGTCATAAATCAAAGCGCTGCTGATGGGGAAACAGCAGAAAAGCTGTTGTGCTGTTGATGTGCAGCGGGGTCGAGTGTTGCGTGCCAAGCCACATTACAACACCCACAGATTCAGCTGCAATACACCGCTGGCCAAAAATCATGCTGTTTGGATTTTAATAAGCAAATACTCCAGAACCTGGGATTAGATCATGATCGCAGTGATTAATATGTTAGTGGCATGTCATATGTTTGAAAACAATTCTTGCAGCTTTTCATTTCTAAAACAACCATGTATGAAGAAACATCCTGTGGCCTTATCCCGGATTCATCGGGCTCAATGGTCAAAGAGTTGTTCAGGGAATCAGTCCCGACTTTGACTCCATTGAGTCTTTGGGATGTGCTGGAGTCGACTTGACTTTACAGAGTTGTTCAAGTCTCTCTTTGTCAAACAGGAGATGTATTGTGATGTTGCATAAGGTTTTCGAAACAGTGCAACAATGGATTCACACTGTGAAGTGCAAAGCTAAAGTCAGTTCAGCAAAATATTAGAGTGTTTGACTTTTTTGTTTGTTCAAGCAGACAGCACCTGGCCGTATTTGACTCTCCTGAATTACATTTAAACGGAACAAAAGCCCCTGTTGAAAAACCAGCATATGATGGTTAGGTATGTTTTGAACCAGCTCAAACCAGCAACCATGCTTCAAAACATACCAGCATACTGTTTGTTTTTTTAACGGGAAGCAACAGAGAATCACCAATGAGAAATAAACACGACGCAGACTTCTGCTTTCCTGCTGGACGCTGGTGTGAATCGAAACACATTTGAGCTGAACTGAAGTGTGCCTCAATCCAGACCTGACCGCTAGCAGCCCACTGCATGCTGTTTATTCACTCGGGAACCATAACTAACTCCTGGTGTGGCGGTGATAATGCTCTGTGGTGTTTGTGGATGACTAGAGCACATGCCTGTAATGAGCGCTGTGTGCACTCCAGTGTGTCCTCAACTTAAAGACTCAAGTCAGCAAATACACGACTGTCACACGAGATAATGTGTCTTTTCTGGGTCTGTGTGTGAACGCGATCTCAGCGTCTGAAGGGGTCTCTAGTGTGGTGTGGTCAGGAGATAGCCATGTCTTCTCCACGAGTTTGTGCTGCTTTACTTTGGACAAACGAGGTCTGGTTTTCAGGTTTGTCCGACACATGTTGGAATTAAAACGTCATACTTCTAGGAAGATCACCACATAAACAACATATGTCCCTGATCAATGCATGGCGTGTTTTTACAGTGAGATGGAGATGCAGTGAGCTTGGGTTTGGTGACATTAACCATTAAATGAATATGCTGTGAACAGATGAGTGGTGGCTGTCGATGCAGTAATTAATCTAGCGCGGGTGGCTGGAATATCACTAATTTGCCGGGATCAAGTGATGTCACTGATCCGTATCAGTATTGGCTAATTCATGATGGCTGTTTTTGGTGTTGGGTGACTTTGACCCACTGGACAGCATCCAAAACATATCCATTTCTCTTGTTAGCTACACTGTAAAACCGGATAAGTTAATATAACTCAAAAAAATAGTTGAAACTGATTACATCGAAATTTTGAAGTTATATTAACTAAATTGTATAAGTTAAAGAAACATCATTTTTTAAAGTAAATGTTACCAAGTAATTTTAACTGATATTAACTTAATCTTACAAGTTACTACAACATTATTGTTCATTAACATTAACATTATAAGTTCATTTTACAAGGAGTTTTTGGGTTCACAGAACCAATTAAAATTAAATAAAGATGACTTAAACATTTTTGTTACATTACAATTAAGTTTACCTTCGTAAAAACATTCGTTTTCATAAATAACTATACACTAACTAAAATAAAAATAAAATAAGAAAAATGGGTTAGAAGACTATTTAAATGCAAATTACTATTTTATTAAGTAACCACAAATCATTAACAAAACATCAACATTAAATTGTTTGTCAAATGGAAATACATTCTCCAAAACAGTGCAAGGCCCTTGAGAAATGAGCTGAGATAATAACTGTCACTTTTAGAAGTGGACAATATGGATATCTGGATATCACCCAGCTGTAAACACTTCCCTAAAATAGGAACACTTCCAAAATTCACATCAAACAGTAACTTTAGAAATATAAAAGTAATACTAGAATAAAATATAAGAGAAATTTCAAAATAGAGCAATGTTTGTTTTAAAACAGTCATTTCTATGAGTGGATGAACACATGGTACTGTATATGGAACTTATACCATTCCAGAAAATCAACTGAGAAAATGTTCTGCAAATTAAATACTAGACAAATATTGAAAGAAAGAAAGAAAGAAAGAAAAGAATGTACTAAAAGTGACAGAAGTGAAAGTTTAAATGAAATGTCAAATAAAACAGTACCTTTGTAAGCTTTGTTCAAACACTGAGGAAACTCTACTGACAAAAGTTCATTTTTAAGACTCAACACTCTGGGTCTCAGCTTCCCATCCTCCAGACCCATCAAGAATTTGTGGGTAAAGTCAAATGTATTGTCCAACTCTTTTAGGGAACTTAGATCCAAGGCGTACGTTAGTCCAAAAAGCATGACAAATGCATGAGCCAATGAGGGGAAATCGTTAACTGTTACCCAAAGTACAACTTCAGTCTTCTCTGAGCAGAAGAACGTGGCAACTGTTGAATTGTTACTAATGGAGAGGAAACGAAGTGACACATCATCAACATCTGGTTCATCAGATTGTTCTACCTGAAGACAAAAACAGAGTAATGTTACTGTAAAGTTCCAAAGGCTGACTGCTAACAAGTGACATATTTACATCTACTCCAAACCATTCTATCCCATACAATTAACTACAATTATAATTGATAGCCTATATTCAAAACCTGGAACTAGAAGCAGAATGACATCTGAATGGAAGGTGATTGTTGATTATCGAACAGTTTCAGGTTGCATTGATTTTCATAGAATTTTTTTCCATACTATGGAAGCTATGTTAGAACAAAAACTGTTTGGTTACCAACAATCTCTCCTGCCATTCAGGCTGTAGTTCCAGGTTTTGAATATATCCTTTATAATTGTAGTAATTCTTTGGTGTTCTGTAAAAGAGTGTAAATGAGGACTAGGCAGCATTTTGATTTTTAGTGATCTCTCTCTCTAAATTCTAAAGGTGGGCAGGGCAACTTTTTTTTAGCAATGTTGCTTGGGCACTTCCCCATTGAAAATGGGCAACAAATTTCTATCCGGATACTTTAGATCGGTCGTGTGCCCTGTGTCTCATCTTTTGCTCAGCGAAATTGCTCAAAAAGTTGCCCCGTGTATCATAGGCTTAAGCAACACGATCACTTACATCCCACATCTTGAGAACGCTGGAGTCATCCTCAAGCAGATAGGCGGAGGGAGCACGGAGGACAGCAGCTCATCATACATGGATGTCAGTATTTCCTTCAGTGTGAAAATTAGAGACTTGAGTATGAGATTCTTGATTTAACATGGAATCTAATCAGCACAGCCACACAATACTATGCATCACCCTAAAATTTCTGTGTGTATGACAAACAACCGAAATCACTCAAAATCAACTGTAGTTTCTTTATCAGCCATTAAGAAGTGTAACCACTGACCTGAAGTGTCACATATCCTGAAAAGCTGACTCAGTACTTCAGACACTTTTCCTGTGGGATCAACTTTAATTCTGGTTCTTCAGGTTGACGTTCATATGTGCCTGGCAACATTTCAGTTACGCTGCCGTCTATGCAGGGTTAGAAAGCTCTCGGATTTCATTAAAAATATCTGTGTTCTGAGGATGAACGAAGGTTTTACGTGTTTGGAACGACATGAGGGTGAGAATTTAATTACAGAATTTTCATTTTTGGGTGAACTATCCCTTTAAATATAAAACATTTTCAAGTGTGCTAAGAAAAATATTTTTACCTTTGACTCCATTTTAAAGCAGGCCAGCAATCCAGGATCTCAGCAATAGGTAGGTTCCAGCATCTCTATACAATGAATGCGTATTAAAATTAATAATTGGACATCAAAACACCAAACTAAACTTCCAGCTGCTTCACTTTTATCCTGAAAAGAAACAGATTAAGAAGTTAGTCAGGTTGTAATATTTGCCAAAACACCAGGAAAATTCTATTTAAAGCACATGACACAAATCAGTTATTTAACTTAATAGGCATCATGTGAAATATGGTGCTTAGTTTGATCCCATAATACAAACATTAAACTTTTAAATATTTATTTATACTGTATAATCTGATTTGTTAAATTTTAAGAACATAAATGTCTTTGGTAAATAACACAAGCTTTACTTGTATGGCTTGAGCCAACTAATGTAACGTTAACATACTTGAATACATTTATAAATACCTGTCCATAAAAAACTGTACAACTTGTGGAACAAAGTGAATCAAATTATTGTGAAACCTCTATGAAAATCATTACTTTATGTCCAGCAATGCGAGGCAATGTAAATAACAAGCTTTACTGGTATGGCTTGAGCCAACTAATGTAACGTTAACGTACTTGAATACATTTATAAATACCTGTCCATACAAAAATGTACAACTTGTGGAACCAAGAGAATCAAATTATTGTGAAACCTCTATGAAAATCATTACTTTATGTCCAGCAATGCGAGGCAATTATAATGAAATATACGTTTTGAGGTCATTACAATTTGTTACCTGAAAACATTTTAATGTGTGCACACTCGATGCAAAAAGACAGACTTTGATGAAAAAAAAAAAATCTAAATACAGTTGATTCAACAATTCAATCGATTTTTGACCTTTAGTGATGCGGGATAAAATGGCTCAAATCATTTGCAAATGCATAAAATGCATTAAACAGCTCATATAATGAACTGCCAGGCTCCATAACATCAGAGCTTAACCTTCTGCGGCGAGCATTCATGGCCTGCCAGCAGTCATCAATATTTAACAGCTGTTGTTCTTCTGAAAGTCTTTATAGGCTAATGTGGCTTCCTCAGTTTGCACGCAAGGGCTTGGACTCACGCCAGCCGTCTGTCAGAGACGCTGCAGATTGACGGAGGACTGGATCGCGTGCCAGCAGCAGCTCGCTCAGCCAGCGCCCCTCTCTCTCTCTGTGTGTGTGTGTGTGTGTGTGCGAGAGTGTGTGTGAGTG